TAATTGTAGTATGTAAACATTTTGGGATTTGAGTTATTTTATTGTCTCAAAGATAAAAACCTAGTGATTAAAATAGGTCGGATTTTATCAAATAATCTGAAAACCCCCAATTAGAAAAGTTACTGTGAAAAGCAATGAAGTAGAAGACAAAAAGTTTTGGTCTGAATACCAGGAGGTCTAAATTCTGATCCAAATACAATACTTTACTAACTGCACAGCCTGGGAAAAATCACTCGACTTCTTACTATCTCTATTTTCTTGCCTGTAAAATGAGGGGTTTTAGTTAGGCAATAATAGTCACCTGTAAATCCATCCCTCAGATACCACCATTGCTGACACTTCCAAATATATATATATATATATATATATATATATATATATATATATACACACACACATATATGTGTATATATATATATATTTTTTTTTTTAGTTGATCGGTTTTAGAGAGAGGAAGGGGGAGAGAGGGAAACATCAATTTGTCGCTCCACTTATGCATTCGCCAGCTGATGGCTGTATGTGCCCTGACCGCGCACGGAACCCGCAACCTTGGCATGTGGGGGTGCCTCTCCCACCAACTGAGCCCCCCAGCCAGGGCAGCTAACGTTTTTAGCTGTCGCAATGTCGTTACCAAGATGCGTCCACTATATTTTCAATGACTGCGTGAGATTCTGCCTCACCGATAAGCTTTGAGTCACTTAACCATTCTCTAGTGTTGGTCATTTAGATTATCTACACATATATTTTAGAATTCCTGTGGAAACCCACCAGTTGACCCTCACTAATCCTTAAAGTGAAGGAAGAGAGTAAATGGAGGCTGAGAAACAATGGAAAATATTGACCGTCTGGTCCGTGACTTGCCCAGTGCTTCTCCCTAGTTACAAGTCAGTAAGCATCATCTTTATATGTCACAGACAAATAATCTGATGTAGCCAGTGTCTTTCGTCCATTTGGAGCAGGATTATGGAGACCCCAGACTTGGTGGTCAGAGTTCATACTCCAGTGCCTGTGGTCGGCACATTCCTTTAGCTTGTCTACCTCGCTGCTTTTCTTCAAAATGGTTATGATATTTGATGTTTTTCCTGCTTTAGCAGTCCTTGTATCCATCAAACACTTTTGTGTGTAATTCCTCCAAAAAAATATTTCAGTGTGCGTTGCTGATCATTTAAGAGCAACGGGATCTTAATTCTGACATCAAATGTCATATAAAGGAAAGTAAAATAAAATGTTTATAACCTCAAGGAATTTAACATTGAAACTATGTACTATATAGCACCTGGCATGCACACAGTAGGCACCCTATCAATATTTGTTAAATGATCAAGAAAATCCAGAGGAGATTACCCCTCAAGAAAAATGAACGACTACTTCTGATATTACCATAGTACCACTTAATATGCCAGTGCACTGAAGCTGGTTTTTTTTCAATTATTTTCTATGCACATACTGACAAAAGGCTGTTTTAGGTTCACAGCAGTACCTTTTATTAATTCAGATAAAATACTGGGAGTGAGTAGCTTTGGGGAAAGGGAAATGTGAAGTATGCTAAGTGTCATGACTGAAACATAGGCATCCAGACTATTCACTTACTCATTAAATTTGACTTCAATGACCTATTTTGATGAATAAGAACTTAAATCAGAGATCAGTGTATGGTGTTTTGATAGTGATGGGTAAATGCAGAAGTTTCTGCTTGGGAATTGATCAGTTGAGATGGCATCAGTGAGAATAAATTTCCATTTTCATTTTAATTGTCCTTACCTGACATGAAACATTTTTCTTCTCAGTTTGGCCACATGTACCAATTAATAATTGATAATCATTAGAAAAAGCCTTCAAAGCAAAAAATACTAACAGAGAAATGAACATTTTTTTTCTTTTAAGCAGAGCTAGTGCCAATCTAAATACTTTGGCATCCTTCAAAGAGAGAGAAAACATTTATATTTTTTACTAAAAAACCTAAACCACATCTTTCGTAATCTTTTTTTCTTTCATTATCTTACTATCACTATCTTTTTGTATCTGCGTTTTACATCTTTTAAATCAAAACTTCATTCAGTTCAGTGGAGTTCATCTAAGTAAAATTACTAAAATCTGAGCGGTTCACTGGAGAGCAACACACCACAGTTTATTAGTGGTTGTTCATATAGTGGGGTTACAGAGTATTTATAATTGTCCCTCTGTGAATTGAGATTATTAATGGGAAACCAAGGCAGCAGAGATCCCAGGCCTTGGGCCACATGGCCTTGGACAAATCAGTTAGTCTCTCTGTGCCTCAGTTTCCCTATCTATAAACTAAACGGGGCCACCAAGGTGATCACCAAGTTTATTTGCAACGTTCAGATCACGTAGGTGTAGCTGAAAAGAAAGTTCAGCTCGATACAGCTCTTACGGAGGGCAATTTTGGCAGCGTGTCTCAAAATTACAAATGCATTTAACTGCTGACCCAGTAATTGCTTTTCCAGAAATTCCTCCTATACAGTTGGAAAGTTACAAACTGAGTTCTACAAGGTTATTCTTTACAGAATAGCTTGTGGTAGCTAAAGATTGACAACAAGCACTCTATAGTTCACCAGCACCCTACAGTTCATTAAATTGATACACCCATTGCTCCGGTAGGCAGCTATAAACTAGGACATTAGTTGAACATATAAACAATGAGGCAGGATAGCACTGAATCCAAGGATCTGGGCAGTCTGTAAGAAAACTCCCTTAACCGAACACTCTCACCCGACTGAGGCCCTGAAAAACCGGAATTGAAATGAAGGCCAGGCCAAATTTGCAGCTGCCTTCCTTCGCCAAGAATGATGCAGAGAGCAACGCCTCTATGCAGGGTGCGGCCGTCTGGATCCGGGACTGCCTGGGCCGAGGGTAACTGCAAAGGGTCGACTTTGCCACCTTCCTTTGAGCTCATCCTCGGGGGTGCTGAGGTCCCCTAGCGGCTGGCAGAGGAAGCCCGAATGTCCGAATTTGATAGTAAACGCCAGGAGGCCACAAGAGGAAGGGGGTATGAACCAACCCCATCCTCAACACACCGGGCTCGAGAACCGCCCCCGCCCCCGGTCCACGCCCCCCCAGCAGGCCCCACCTCCCAGATCAGTAGGAAGCTGTCGTGGTAAGTGGATTATAAAGAAGTAGGGGGCTGTATAGGGAGATGATGGTGAGAATGTCAAGGAAGAAACAAATCTCTAAGTCTTCACACTTTTATAAAAGAGGCCTAATTTTCTCAAGATGTCATTTTTTTTCCCAACTGAAGATTTACCTGTAAGAAAGTTTGTTTTTTTTAAAAAAAAAAAATTGGGAGCTGTCATTTTGGACAAGATATTTAAAACCCTACTGTCAATCTTCCATCGTAAGTGATCCCACACCTCTCTGAAAGGAAATGCCTTCCATATTCCTCCTAAAAAAAGCAAAGCAAAACAAAACAGAACTTGAAAACTGTTTCTTCTGTTCCCTCAGATACAAGGGCCGTTGTCTTCCTACCTTTGGCTCCACTGATCTCGACAGGACGTCCTAACCCTGGAACCCAGATGGGGCAAGGTGGGGTGGGGTGGGGTGGGTGGGGGTAGGTGGGTTGATTGACGCACGTGGCAAACAGCCTAAATTAGAAACCTGGGGGTGGGGCAAGGCTACGCCCTAAGGCTCTTGAGCTTTTAACATCTCAACACCTCATCACTTCCATTCTAAATAGCAAAGAAATTACAAGCAAACAGTTAAACTTAATTAGGGGTAAATACTAAAGTGTCACTTGTCAGTTTCTCACTCAATGCTCCTCTTTCCCCGCCGTCCCTGGCTGACTTGGCGGGCAGTCTGAGGTTCCCCCTGAGGGAATGAGGTCTAGGATGCCTTTGGGGCCATCTGTGTGTGAAATAGGACTGCATTTGCCAGGCCGAGCCCTTTCCCCTGATTGCTGGCCGTTTAGGTCAAGGATGGAGTGAGTGAACCTGGCTGGTGGCTGCCAGGTTGCACGACTGGCCCCGGACTAGACCGAACCGCCGAGGCTCAGCTAACGGGTGCGGAGGCGGCGGGAGGTGCTCGACGCGCGGGCTGGACCGTCAGAGCCCTGGCGCCGGGGGGCGTGCGCGGCCCACGCCGGGCCGGAGGTCTTGACAAATCGCGCAGAGAGAAAACAAAAAACCAAAACAAAACCCACCGGCAGCCCCACGTTTCTTTGCAAAGAAATCGTGGGTGGAGCTCACAGCCAGGCGATTGAGCACAATTCTGCGAGGCCGTCGCCGCCCGCCCACCCAGCGCCCCCGGAGCGCGGCGCGTCCTCCCCGACCCCCGGCCGAATGCACCCGGCTCAGGGCCCGGAGAGGAGGTCGAGGTAAAGCGAGCGACTCGTTCTTGTGTTTCCCCAGTACTCGGCTTTGCTCCTCGGTAGTAAACAAAGTGTCGCCGCCGCCGCCTCCACGCTGGTTTGCCTCCTAGCAATCGAACACTGAGAGGGCGAGAGACTCACGAAACACTCGAGAATTACCAGAAAATAATAACAGATCCAAAAAGAGAGAGTGTGAAAGAGAAAAACACCCCACTACCCCCCACCAACCCACTGCCACCTCCCGGTGAAAAGCCGGCCCCCGCCCAGGCCGGCCTCCACTGGCTGCCTTGGCGGCGGTGCCGCGCGCTCATTGGCCGCTTTAGCTGTCAGTCAGGGGCGGGCCGGCGCGCGCGCCGCAGCGGGCGGGGGGTGGCGGCAGATCCCGTAAGTCGGGCGGCAGCGTAGTAGCTGCAACCTCCGCTGCCGCAGCCACATTCAACAGGCAGCAGCGCCGTGGTCGCGCCGCGGAGGAGAGCGAGCGGCTCGCGGCTCGCGGCGTCCGTCAGTCCTCCGGTCCGCGGGCCCTGTCATCGGGAGCACGGTGCCGGTGCTGCCCGGGCCCGGCGACCCTGGCCTGCTGTCCCGTCGGTGCAGCGGACCCAGAGGAGTCTAGATGTTGATGGACTCGTGAAGTTAAGTTCTGGGCTCGCGCTTCCACTTAGCCGCTTCTTCCTCCCGGTTTCCGTCCGCTTGCGGCACCGACCTCGCTCCCAATCTCGGACCGGCTCTTCGCGCGTCCCCCCCCCCCCCACCTCGGCTCCGGGTGCTGCGCTCTACCCCTTCTCGGCTCTCCCGCGGCTGGGGGAGGGGCGGGGGTCACCATGGCCGAAGCGCCCCAGGTGGTGGAGATTGACCCGGACTTCGAGCCGCTGCCGCGGCCGCGTTCGTGCACCTGGCCGCTGCCCAGGCCGGAGTTTAGCCAGTCCAACTCGGCCACCTCCAGCCCGGCGCCGTCGGGCAGCGCGGCCGCGAACCCCGATGCCGCCGCGGGCCTGCCCTCGGCGGCCGCTGTCAACGCGGACTTCATGAGCAACTTGAGCCTGCTGGAGGAGAACGGGGACTTCCAGCAGGCGCCGGGCTCCGTGGCGGCGGCCGCGGCGGCCGCGGCGGCGGTGGCGGCAGCGGCCGCGGCAGCAGCGGCTGCCACCGGGGGGCTGTGCGGGGACTTCCAGGGCCCGGAGGCGAGCTGCCTGCACTCGGCGCCGCCGCAGCCCCCGCAGCCCGGGCCGCTGTCGCAGCACCCGCCCGTGCCCCCCGCCGCTGCCGGGCCGCTCGCTGGGCAGCCGCGCAAGAGCAGCTCGTCCCGCCGCAACGCATGGGGCAACCTGTCGTATGCCGACCTCATCACCAAGGCCATCGAGAGCTCGGCGGAGAAGCGGCTCACGCTGTCGCAGATATACGAGTGGATGGTCAAGAGTGTGCCCTACTTCAAGGATAAGGGTGACAGCAACAGCTCGGCGGGCTGGAAGGTGAGTGGCCTCGGGGCGCACGGCCAGACTGGGAGAGGGGGCGCGGGGACCTCTGCCTGCGTTTGAGGTCACGGTGGGGCAGATGAGGGGCGGTGGTGCAAGTTTGCTCGTCCTGAAAGTGCAGGGCTCGCGTGCAGGGAGCGGGCGAGAACTGGCACATGCGGGTGGCGGGCTTGCCTGGGACCAGTTGGGGAACACAGGTATAAGTGGGTCCGCGCGCTCAAGTGAAAGTTGGAGTGGGATGGGGACCGAGCCCGTTTAAGGGAGTGAAAAAAGTACGCCAGGAAGTGGATATCAGAGGAGGCAGAAAAGTTCCCCAGTGAAAGGAGGGGGTCCACTGGGAGCAGTTTTCTCCCCCGCGGCCCGGGCAGATTTCTGCGGCTGCTCCTTAACCTCCAGAATCTCGGGGCTAAGGGCGGCTCCTTTCCCACTCGCGGCGCGCGACCTCCCAGCTCGGGCCGCACCGGGGAGCCGTTTCCGCCGCACTGGGCCGGTACGGGCGCGGCGAGGGGTATCGGAGCTCCGCCAGCGGGGGACAGGGCTCGCAGGTGGAGTGGATAGGCGCGAGCTTGCCCTGTGGGGGTTGGCTGCGCAATTTTTGGAGGCCGGTGTGCATTTCACTTTGTTTTGATTGTATCCGAAGTGGAATTGAGTGGAGGGAACCGGTCGCGCCAACCCCGAGGTAGCGCATCCAACACGTGCAGCGGGGTGGCCACCGCCTGCGGAGCCGTGGCGCCGGGCCGCGCAGGGCGAGCTAAAGTTCAAGTGTGACCCTCGGCGGGGGTGGAGGCGGGAGCTGACGACGGCGAGGGAGGGGCCGAGGGCGCAGGAAGCGAGCGCCTTTAAAGGGCCAGCGCGGCTTTCCGCCCGGCCCGAGGGACTGCGCGGCCGGCGCTTAGCTACGCAAGGAAGTGCCCGCACTCTTGGCCTCGCCCGTGGCCCCCAGGCCTTGAAGCCGCAGGGAGAGGCCCCCCTGGGAGACCCGGGCTGGGGACCTCTGTGTGTACCTTCTCTTTCGCTTTGCCACCTCAGTGTTACCATCGAGCGCGGAGGTACAGATCGGAGGGCCTCAGCCTGACTGACTACACGGCATAATAAAGATAATCATAATCTTTATGTGCAGCATAATCTTTAACGCGCAGTGGTTACACCAGGGTGATTCTACACATAGTCATTCCTGTGGTTATTGTGTGTCAGAAAGGTTAAGTTACTCACATTGTGTTGAAGTTCCTGGAGAAGGAAACAGGATTTTACTTTTTTTCCAAAGTGAGTTTTAGAGTAAAGTTATCACTTACAACTTAATTACTAGGTACCCATGAGACTGATCAAGTGTTTCAGAAAGGCGGAGTGCCTCCTTAGTAGGTTTATAGTTGTGAGTACGCTAAAAACAGTTTATTCTTGTATTACTTATTAATTATTGTATTACTTTCCACACGAACAACTGTAAACCTACTTTTGCCCCACCCTGCATTCTTTTAAGTCACAAAGTTGGGATTGTCTGCCCAGTCCAATTTTACTTAACATTTGAATATAACTGCTTAATTACTTGCTCATCTGTCATCCTACTTGAGCTATGATTAAAGCGTTTGCTATTTTAAAATATTTTTTTTTTTGCCATTTGAAGTACAGGGTAGACTTACACCATCCGTTTACTCTTTTACGTCTTTGGATTTGGATACAACCGATCTGTGCTTGCTGCAGTGTCTTTCTTTGAAGGTAGACCAAGGCAAAGTTTTGTTAGGATTTTAGTTTTGCCTCTCAAATGGTCTTAAGTCAGGGTATTGTCCTCCAGCTAGTAATGTAACTAAACTTTTTAGGTTTAGTGCTTAGTAAAGAAAGAGATAATAAAGCCATATCACCCCTCCCAACATTTTTATTAGGTTCTTGTTCTGATTTTTCCCCACAATGCACTTATAATTTTATTATTTTTAGAGGTTTACTTAACAGAATGAGCAGGTCTGTCAGGTGTTAGGACTCTCTGTCCAGCCTTGGAGGCGGGGCGGCGCCTCCCACCAGCCAGCGAGTGGGGCTTGGGGAGGGGGGGCAGGCCGTGCTTCTCAAGGGAGCCAGCGGTTCAAGTGCAGTCAGGAGTCGGTCGGTGCGGGCAGATAACAGCCAGTGCGTTTTCACTTTGAGTAAAAGGGTATTTTAAGAAGAAAAGAAAAAAAAAATGAGGTGTCCTAACTCATAACTAGGCTTATGGTTACAGTTTTCATAAAAATGAGTTACTTGTTCAAGTTTCACTCAGACCTGAAAGATTCTCCTGTTTTAAAGATTCATAACAGGGAGAAACTGAGTTCTAAATGGCAAATCAACCAAGACTTAACTGTTGTCGGACTGAGGAGTTGCTGCTTTGGAACACTTAAGTATTTCCTGTGATTTGCTACTGGGAATTAGGCTGAATCTTTAATTAAATATGGTTTTCTTGTGCTTTACTTCCTATGGCCTGCCTGAGAATTTGAAAGTCATTTGCATGGACAAAGTAGTTGGAAAGCTGTTAAAGAGCTCAAAAAGTGCTAGTTCCTTAAATACCGGTTTGTTTTAGGGATGTGAATTTTGTATTGGTAGGGATGGTACCTTAATTCTCTTTTATACTTGTTTTAACATTGGCTATAGCTGTCGTAAGGTTACACACTAAGTAGAAGCTAAGGCTTTTGGAAAACCCGGGATCTTTTAAACCATGAAGAGTATTTATAAATAGTGAAACTTCATTTCCATGACCTGTTTTGTTTTGTTTTGTTTTGTTTTCTCTCACATAGAAAGCTTTCTAGAGTTTGGGAAGTAGTATTGTGAGTTCTGGCGCTCGCTCTCTCTCTCTCTCTCTTTTGTAAATGGCAGTTTTGAGTTGACTCTTGTTTTTTATTTTGATATTATTTGGAACACTTAATTTAGGTTAAAGGAATGCTTCCACATATAAGACTCAACACATGTTTAAGAAAATTTAGATTGTTTATTATGAAGTAACTCAGGTACTCTATTTTGGAATGAAGTTTCTTTAATTTGGTCTGTGAACTGAGAGTGCATTTTCTTGCATTGTAAAATTCGTGTCTGTTTTGTAATTTGGGGTTTTAAGCTGCAGGTGAGTAATTTACAATAATTAGCCCGAGGTCTCATGGCAGGAAGATGGCTGCTTTCTTGCTGCACCATCGCATTCGACTTAAAGACTCCTGGTGTGGCCAGCTTCTAGTTCGTGACTGAGATAACCTTAAAGAAAACCTTTTTCACAGTTGACTGAAAATTGCAATATATGCATTTGAAGGGAGCACGAGGAAAGAGATTAAAATTGGTTAATGGGATTATACAACCAAGTACATCTTATTTGCTAAAAGCTAGAAATTGTGTAGGACTGATGTGCTCATGTCTTAGGATGAGATATTTTGTTCAGCAATTTAAAAAGAGATGCTAAGTGTAAATATCTTTGATAGTCATAAGAACTTTATGTTTTGTACTTTTTTTTTTCAATTGATTACAGAGAGTGAGGGAAAAACCCACATCAATTTGTCCTACCTGTTTCTGTATTCATTGGTTGTTGTTTGTATGTACCCTGGCCTGGAATCGAACGAACGCCTTGGCATATCAGGACAACATTCTAACCAGTTGAGCCACCTGGCCAGGGCAAGAACTTGATTTTTATTTGACCTATGTTTTTGTGTATGGCAGGAAGGGTGGCTTCTATTTTTGAATGATACTGAGCCTTTTTTTTTTTTTTTTTTTTTTAAGGATCAAACAGTTGCATATTGGAAAGAAAGTTTCGAAAGTCTTCATGTAAACTTTAAAAAAGGTTAAAGTTTGTGGAGACCTTCCTAAAATTACTGAAAGGCTGTCATGTTGGCAGCAGACACAAACGTGGCTAGATATTGCGTGCTGTACAGAGAATCCAAGTGGACATTTGAAATGAAGATGAGGGGAAATAATACCCAGTGGTTAGTTAGAATCCCCAGTTGGCTGGGAACTTTTTGACTGTCCTTGAGCTCTTCATCCAAACTCCTAAACTGCAGTCTGCATGACTTTCTAAGAGAGCAGCTGTCTGTATTTGCCTGGAATTTCTTTGGGAAGTCTGAACTATTTGTATTTTTCTGGAACACTCTGCCCTTGGAAACTACCCAGTAACCTGGCATCATGGGAATTTGCTTAGCTTTTTTTTTTTTTGGGCCTGTGTGTACTGTAACTTCAGTGCTTCCTGGAATCCTCTTGGAAAGGCAGTCTAAACTCCGTGGTGATTGGAGGGAGCAAAGGAGTTAGCAAATACATACAGCATTAGTAAGCACAGAGTGGATTCGGCCCAGCTTCCCTGCAGTTCAAGATCTGCCTTCGCCTTCCCAGGACCACCTTGCAGAGACTTACCCCAAATCGACCTCCCTTGGGCCAGATAACTACCTTTTTTCTGTGCATACAAAATGCTGGAGTTGATGTGGTATTCTTAAGTGTGAGACACAGAGGACTAGGTGAACTTGGAAAAAATGTTTATTTTGATGTCTAAGGGTTGCAAGCTTGCATTACAATGAGTATGGACTGTAAAGAAATGTACTCAAGTGTGGGAGAACTCTCTTTTTGCAGGTTTCCTGACAAGGACTAACAAAACTCATCAGTGGCGCGGAAGTCCTTGTGGTCTTCTGAGGAACACATGAAACAAGAGAATATATTTCTGTACATTGGTAATTTCATACGGTTCCACCTTCTGGAAGAGCGCTTTTTCCATTGGCATTTTGTCTTATTCCACGCCATCCACCTGTGGTTCCTCAAGCTCCCTGTGGGTTAAAGCACTCTGATACTGAGCCTTGGGTTGAGTTAGCCTTGCTACTTGGAAGACATTTGGGCTGCCTGCCTTTTTAAAGTTTCCTTTTCACCTAGCATATCGCTTTGATAGAAGCTAACGAAAATAAAAAGAAAAGCAACTTGGATGTAAAGCCAAATAAAATTGGAATGTTAAATACCTTTTCAGTTTATTATTTAGTGAATTTCAACTTTAATGCATTACTTACAGACATAAATTCAACGTG